CAGGTGTGGGACTGAGGCACCTGATTTAGAAGTTCTATGAATGATTCTGATGTACTCTCTTTGTTTTGCAACTTAACTCACTATTTGTGATTGTCTTTGCTCTAGGATGGCCATTTGTGTTTGTTGGTTTTTGTTTTGTTTTTAGAGAATACCTAATGACTTTTATTTTTATTTTAATTTTTCATGTTTTTGGCTATTTGTTTTTAAAGTATTGTCACACATAAGCAGCATTAGTATCATCTGAGAACTTCTTAGGCATCTAAGTCCTGGCTTCCTTTATCAGAAATTCTTGAGTTGGGTCCAATAACAGATGTTTAGCCCTTCAAGTCATCCTGATGCCTGGCAAAATTTGAAAGCTGCTATTCTAGACAAGTCTAATTCTTAAGATATTAACATTCTAAATAAGGAATCAGCATTCACTAACATCAGCGATCAGAATTTAACACAGTGTTTCTTAAGAATTTTATTAGAAAGATAATTTAAGTAGGTGATCAAGGGACCTGAAGGCAAGACCCCGCCCTGGCAGGCTTATATGTACGAACTTGCGTTTATTTCGCTTTTCTAAGCCATAGTTTCACCATTTGTAAAATGTGCGTAGTAATCCTGATTTACTTTATCATGAGGATTAAGTGTCAGTATATTGGGAAAAAATGACACTATACATCTGAGGTGGTATATTCAGTGGTTAGCCCCAGAACTCTGTCATTTACAAAATAGCAAAAGGGTATTTAGAGTGTTGTTCTCTTTATCTCTGTTTAGTACCCTGGCATCCTGCACAGTACTTGCATGGCCGCCTTTGAAGTGTCTCCTCTGCATGCCTTGAATTGCTATGGTGACTCTGTCAGCAAGGGCACAGCCATTCTATTTTGGTCAAGGTGGATACTGTAGCTTTTGTGTTCCAAAGCGATGCCAAACGCCATAAATTTTGTGAACTAACAAGGTCTCGCTTGCGTCATGTGCTGCAGAAAGGACTTGTTAGGAAGTCTGGCATTTTTTTTTCTTGTTGTATTAAATGGTATGTAGCAAAAGGGGTTTTGTGTCCTACAACTTGTCATCCCCACCCCTGAGTTTTACAGCAGAAGAGTCACACTCCAGTCGTAGAGTTGAGCTCATCATGGCCTGCCATTTTTATGTGGCAAAATATTTTACTTAGCTGATTATAGGTGTTTATGCAATAGGATCCATTTTTTAAAAAAAATGCTTAGAAGCTTAGTTCATTAGTATTAAAAAGTGGGTCTGAGGGAAAGGGCACCACAAATGAATTACCAAATCATAATAGAGTAAAATTGCAAGAGCTGTCTGTTCAAAGGTAAAGGACAGAGTCTTAGGTTCTGGTTGTTTGTTGCTATTTCCTAAGTTGAAATTTTCTAAAATGGAAATACTTAATATATTGTGTGAGTCATTTTGAAAATAGTCCTCATTTCATGCCTTCTTCAGAGTAGTGTCCATGGCCTTCTGGTGGAAATGAGTGAATTAGTAACAGTCATAGAGAATAACCTTAAGTATGCTTGTTTCTCTTTGTGTAAAAACAACACACACATATGGATAAAATACCTTAAAGAGTAAAATATGTGATTTAAATTGCTTTTCTAGTACTGGAAATGGCTTGGTACCCATGACTACTTTCTCTGTTGTGACCAAGTAACATGTTTGAGATATCAGACAAGTTGGGTGTATAAGTACTGGCTAAAAATAGCAGAGAGCAACTTGATGTTTACTGTACTGTCCTCTTGGTTACACAACTAACCCAGTAATTTATTAGCCACAAATACAGTTCATTATTAAAAGTATGTTAGTTATAGCATAGAACTGAAGAACTGAGGGAACTTGATAAGATTTTGGGATATTTGTAAAATTCTACTTAACCAACTAGGTAAGTTAGTTTTATTTGTGATTCTACATTCATAAAGTTCTACCTTAGGGAGTCAGTACTGAGAAGAAGTTCAAGGGCTTCACCCAGAAATGGAGCTTCCTCTGTTCACATTGCTGCTCTTAACTGGCTGTGTGAACTTGGACCATAGAATCTATCAGAACTTGTCTCCTTGTCTGTGAAGTTGAACTAATAACTATACCTACTTCACAGAATTGTTGTGAAGATGAAATAAGATAATTAATACAGTGTGAAATGTTTGCATAGTATATGGCCCATGATAAGTATTCAGTAATAGAAGATGAAGCTATGAATTTTATTATTGATATAGTTGTTATATAGAGTACCTATAGAAATAGAAAACTATAATTAGGCCTAGTGCCATGGCTCCCACCTGTAATCCCAGCAACTTGGATAACTGAGGCAAGAGGATCGAAAGTTCAAGGTCAGCCTCAGCACCTTAGCAAGACCCTCTATCAAAAAAAAAAAAAAAAAAAAAAAAAGGAATAGGGATGTGGCTCAGTGGTAAAGTAAAGTATTCATAAATTCAATCCTCAGCATCAAAAAAAGAAAAAGAAAAGAAACTATAATTATCATAGTATAGATGAATAAGTATTGCTTCTATGAAATAAAATAGGATACTATCATTATAAAGCAGCCAATTGAAAACAAGAAAGAACACTTAAATTTTTCTGGTAGGTGACATAAAAAGCAAAATTCAATACAAGTCTAGGAAACTAGAGTTGAAAATCATCTTTTAGAAGATAGAATGAAATAAAAAAGTAGTGAAAAATAGAACAAGGTTAAATAGTTAAAGGATCAGTCTGGAAACTCAAAAACTGAAAATTAGGAACTCCAGAAAGAGAACATGCCTGCAGGAAATTTTCAAAGAAAGAACTTAAGTTTTTTCTTAGAACTAATGAACATGAGTTTCCAGATTTAATAGGCCCAGAGAGTGCACATGAGAACAGCTGAACAAAAGTCATGCCAAGGCACATAGTTGTGAAATTCAGAATTCCCAAGGGTAAACTTAGATTCTGTTCCAAAAAGAAATAGCAGGGCTTACACACAGTCTCTAGATTGACTAAGACATTAGACTTCTGAACTGAAGGACATTTGAGCAATACTAACATGGTATAAAGGAATGTTTCCAACCAGAATTATGTATTCAGCCAAACTGTTAATGAAATACAAGACAGAGTAATGACATTCACAGACATGCAAATTAAAATTACCTCCCAGTCTCCCTTTTCTCAGAAAACACCTGGAGAATGTCCTCCACCTAAATGAGGAAGTAAACTGAAAAAGAGAAAGACATGGGATCAAGGAGACAGAAATTAAAACATAGAAAGGTGAAAGTAGATTTCTACACTGATAGTGAAGAAAATGCTCGGAAGATCTGTAATGCAGGGCCAGATTGCAGCAAGAAGACGGGTTTCTATAATAAGTAGTTCAAAGATAAAGGGAAAAAACCCCTATAATTAAGGAATTATGTGATGAGTGATTAAATCCCGATCTGTTGGAGAGTTTTACAATAAATTTGTGATTTCTGAGCAGTCATTAATTCCGTGAGAAATAAAGTGTACAAGACATGAGATGTAATCAAATGTAATTATAGTAAATATGTAGCTTATCTGCAAATAGTGTTTAAAAATCATAATAATTTAAGCACAAAATACTGATTCAACTGATATGTGTTGTAACTATATTGAGGGAGAAGGGCAAGAGAGAAGTGTGTGTATGTGTGTGTTTAGAGTGGGTGGGGAATGAAGTAAGAGTATTAACTTCTCATTAATATGTAGTGCCTAAAGTGGAAAGACTCAAAAATAGTATTTTGAGCTGAACATCAGAAGAGAAGCATCAGTATAAATAATTTAAGATTTGGTTTGGGGAGTGGGACTGAAAATGTGGAGTAGGGGTTGGTGGTCTCCAGTTTTTATTACAAGCTTTGGCAGTACAATTTGACTTTTGAAACTTTGGGCAGGTTATTACTTTGATTAAAAATTAAAATGATGGGCCAGGATTGTGGTTCAGTGGTAGAGCACTTGCCTAGCATGTATGAGGCAATCCACATGTATGAGTTCAATCCACATAAATAAATAAATAAACAAATAAACAAATAAAATAAAGGTATTGTGTACATCTGCAATTAAAAAAACATTTAAAAAATTGAAATTAAATTTAGTCTTCTCTGTCTCCCAAATTAAACCAAGGTATGTGTGGAGACCCTTTAAAACTGTGAAGCACTGTGCAGATGTTGTGCATGCTTTTATTTTATAGAGTCACTGTCACATCGACCTGGCTTGTACTTCCCCGTCATTCCTGTTAGAACTTTTTCGTGTGTTGCAGGAGTTTATAGAACTCCTCAGTCTGTGCTGTGTCTCTTAAGACCTTCTGAAGGATGTGGCTCAACCTGCCTTTGTATTCTCTTTCCTTCATTAGTTAGCTGCAGTTTCTTCCTATGTAAAGTGAGGGGATGAGACAAAATGATTGGTCAGATCTCTTTTTTAGATTATCTTTGAAATTCACACCGAAAGACCACATGGAAAGATCAAGAATCAGTTTGCTAGTCTTGAAGCTGGCTGATACCTAATCTTCTGGAATGAAATGACTTAGTGGAGTAGTTTTGCATTATGGAATAATGAATAAAGCAAAATTAATAAATTTTGAAAGTCCCTTTTTCTATTTCTTAAAACCTGTTATAATCCTATAATGTGGAGCTTAAGGTCTGTAACATGTGGTGTGGACAATGTATGTATTAAACTTGATCTTTGTAACTTTTCTGGTTTTTGCTCTACCCTCCACATTTGTGTTTTATCTGTATGAGATTCAGAGTTACAGGAGTTCTCACTCATCTCATAGATGAATAATGTTTAACCTAGTAACCAAAAGAGTTCAAAAAGCTTGATCTGAGTATCTTGTTCTCTAATAGTTGATTAACAAATAATGGGGATGGGGACTGTTTCTGTTTATCCTGCTATCATGGATGTTAAAATAGCTGAAAAGTTTGAGAGAACCACAAATGGATCAATTTAATGCCCACATGGAAAGGCAACCTCAAATTGCCTTCTGTAGTTTTGAAATAAAAATCCAAGCTGTATAAGGAGTTAATTTTATTCTCTTCACTCAGGGAGCTAACAGGATGAGAGGTCGGCTTGGAAGTATGGACAGCTTTGAACGGTCTAACAGTCTTGCTTCGGAGAAGGTATCTAATCTGATCTCCTTTGTTTACCCCAAATTGCAATTTAGTAAAAACCAACACCAATATCATAATATGCCTGCCTCTTTATTTTATTATGAGTTCTTTATGGCTTTCAAAATATAAACATTGAGGTTTTGTTATTTTAAATAAGTAGGCCCTGACTGTAAACATGCTGGTCTTTGTTCAGAGAAGCCTTCTGCTGGGACACATGTCTCCTGCAGATAGTGTTCTCACAGACTTGTCACTTTTTGTAGGTAGTATGCTTTGGGGGACAGTGTTTGAGCAATGATTAATCCAGAGCCATAGAAAACCAGCCATCTAATTGCTATACTTGTACAGTGATTTTTTTTGGTTGTTGTGTTGTTCTCTTCCCATATTACCATTTTCCTCCTGTTTTATCATTTCAGCTGCAACTTTAGCCTCTCTTCTACCTCACAGATAACTCCCCCCAGGTTTGGTTTCCTGTTTTCTGCATTGTGTAACATGTAACCCGAGGCATAGGCAACCTTTCTTTAATGGAAAAATGTTTAAATATTTTTATTAAACTTTTTGTTGATGGAGTTTGGGGACTTAGTCTGGCTACGTATGCCTCTGTTGTCCCTAACCCAGGTTTATCAAATGAAACATTTTTACATTGGTGCCTATTCTGGAAAGTATGCATACCTGACTGAATTGAAAGATTTATGGTATCTATTCATGCAACAGGAGACACATTCCAGCTCAGCTCGCCTTTCTTTCATTTCCTGTTTTTGTGTCTTTTAAAAGAACTTTACCTCCGGGAACATGTAGTTGAATAGAAACATCCAGAGTGAAGGAAGATACCAGGCTTTATTTTATTTTCCCTCAGGCTTTGCCACGAGACTTGGATACTTAGGCATTGTGATATCATTTTGACAGTACAGGAAGCGTGCAGCGATATGCCACGGAAATTAGGAGATGGGTTAACACAGACTCCACCCTCATTTGGTCATGGTCTCTTTTCATCTCCCCAACAACAGTGAGAAAAGCACAGTAGCTGTAGCATTTTACCACCGTGTCAGGGGAAAGAATACCTTTTCTGATCCCTTTCACTTTCTGGCCTATCTTTCGGATGCTGTCTTACAGCTGCTTATCAGAAGTGGGCTGTGGTGAGACTGATTAGCCTTCACCAGGGATTGAGTAAAAAAGAAAAAAAAAATAGTTTTGTCATGACTCAGGAGGAAGATGAGGCACCCTGTCCCCATTGAGCCCTGATCTTCTGCAGGTCCACTGCGAACCTTGTAGGAAAGAGAGACCCCTTGTGCTTGCGTTTCAGGACTACTCGCCAGGGGACTCTCCTCCAGGGACACCACCAGCCTCTCCGCTGTCCTCTGCTTGGCAAGCATTCCCCGAGGAGGATTCTGACTCCCCACAGTTTCGAAGACGGGCTCACACGTTCAGCCACCCTCCTTCAAGCACAAAGAGAAAGCTGAATTTGCAGAATGGGAGGGCTCCCGGGGTGCGCTCCCCTCTGCTGAGGCAGAGCTCCAGCGAGCAGTGCAGGTAAGTCAGGCCTCTCCCCACAATGTGAAATCAGATTCCCACGTCACCCTGTGTGGGTCACTGTGGAGTCTGGGTCGATTGTGACTTCATGCTCTAGCCAACTTTTTAGTTTTTAGAAAGAACATAAAAATAAACTGAATTTCTTTACCTCAGTGATTAAGGGAAGTGGGTCAAGGTCAAAGTGTATTCATAGAAAAGAGTTAATGCACTCATTTCATATGGATGAGAACTTTTTTTCCCCCAAGAATATTAGAGAAAACACGATATCATGCAGTTGTTTTGTCTGAAAACTTACTGACAACACATATTACTCAGTGTTTTTCTTAATGATGGCTGTCAATAAGCAAAGTCAGCAAATTTAAAAATAACAAAGCTGTAGAATTTCCTGTTGGCCTCAGTAAAATTCCAGGTTTTAAAAAAAGTCACTTAAGTTACCTTCATACATGAGATAATTTTTGGCTATATTTTACTATTAGTAAAGCTAAATATGAAAAGCACTACAAATTTTATCGAAACTAAAGCAATATTAGAAAGAAGACTAAATATACCCTAATTATAGTCAGTGGCCATTAGAAATTATCTTAGGTGGTATTTAAAAAAATAATTAAATTGTTTGTTATGGTAAGAAGTAGTAAAAGGAATAAACCTAGAAATGATTCTATTTCTTGCTGTGTAGCATAGATCCCAATTTATATCTTAGAAATAATTTAGTTTCTCTTCTTTACCTGTGAGTTTGATACAAAAAAATAAGGTTGATTGCCAGTTGCCAGTTGGAAATAAAATAAAACTTGAAGTAAAAATTCCAGAAAGGCTAATACTTGATAGCCAATGTTATCAGATTTACTAGCATGTTTTTAAGGTAACAGTTTTATTCTTGTTGTTTTCTGAATGATTTCGAAATCTACAAATTAGGTATTATGGTATGAACAAACATTTGTCTCGAGTTTGCTTTGTATGTGAAGGAGATTAAGTATTCATAGGCAACCATGATTTTTAAAAAATGATTATTTGTAATTTTGTATTTACCCAACATAATAAATCTCTTCCCCCCCAGAAATAATTACTTTTTAAAAGTGTTATTGTATTTTTGTATACCTTTATTTTATTTATTTATTTTTAATTGGTACTAAGGATCAGATCAACCTAGTGCCTCACACATGCTAGGCAAGTGCTCTATCACTGAGCTACAAATTTTGTAGCAGGAACAATTACTTTTAAGAATTAAAACCATCAGTTGTTTTAGACTATAAATGATATCTCAGTGCTTCCCTCATGCTTTTGCACAATTTGTAATGTATAAGTTCAAATAATTTCTATCAATATAAAAAGATGTCATTTATGTCCTTATAAAAACTTACCACACAGATTATTGTGTATAAAAAGGAAAAAGAGCTAAATGGGAGATTTAGGGCTCTGGATTGAACCATAGTGGCACCATTTCACAGGCTTCAGGAAAGAACACAGCCATTAATCTTTGTTAAGCCAGAGGTATTATGGTGACTTCCAACAAGCAGACATGTTGCTGTCAAAGAGTTAGTTAGAAGGGTTTAGATCTTTAAAATAGTTTTTGAACTGCTCATAATCAGTTTTTCATTCTGGATCTTGTTTTCCTGTAATTATTTGCGCTTCCCTAGTTTTTACCCTTGAATTATCTTTTGCATGTAAAAACAAGCAATTTTTATCCTAAAATTGTTAAGAATTTTTAAGGAGATGAACACCGATGGATAGAGATACTGCATAGATGAGGAATTCAATTCGTGCGAGAGTGACAGTTCAAGCCCGGTCACCTCAACAGAGAACTGCATGCTTTTTTTGAGTATAAGATTCAGCCCTGATCCTTTAAAGGAAAGGTTAAATTAATAGCAACAACCTGTTTATATGCTTTTTCATAGTGAATGAAGATTTTGCTAAAATATAAATTAAGACAAATTTGCTGTATTTTCTGTACTCAGCATTCTTCCACCAGTTCGACGCATGCACAAGGAGAATAATTCTTCCTCCAGTCTTCCAAGTCTTCACACTTCCTTCTCTGCCCCTTCCTTCACTGCCCCCTCTTTCCTGAAAAGCTTTTACCAGAATTCAGGTAGACTGTCCCCACAATATGAAAATGAAATCAGGTGAGATCAGTGTCCTCTGTTTGCAAAGCAAAATTTTCTGCAGTGATATACTGATAAGTTACTAAAATGTGGCTGATTAATTTTGGAGTGACATTTATGCATCCTTCTGTGTGCTTGTTCTAATCTGTTTCTAATATGTTGACTTTAATTCCAATTAATTTAAAAATGAGTAGTTTCAAATCTTTTTATGACATGATTGTCTTTTTAAATTAATTTTTAAAAAATTATTTGTATTTCTTTGCCTTGGAGCCCAGAGTCTAAACTTTGTATTGTTTGGAACAAGACCTGGTGCTAACACATACTAAGTAAATTTGAACCGATCATGCTTTTTTTTTTTTTTTTAAGCTCTCTGGATATGTTTCATAGAACCCAAAAGCCACTGATTGAATTAGACTAAAGGTTTAAGTGAAGTATGTCTTAAGTTCTAAGTATGTAGAATATTTCTTAGGTACTTTTTTGATTTTTTCAATGACAGACTTAACTTTCTGAAACTTAATGTACATCAAATAAATGGGTACAGGATCGTGTTGATAGCAGCTCTGAACTAGTGTAAGGGATCTCTTCAATCTTGTAGCTATTCTGTTTTGTTTCATATTTGTCCCCAGTAGAGAAAACGTGTAGCCTGTTAAAACTTGTTGCTTGCTCTTTTAGCTGTGCAAAATTAGATGTGGGTATTCTTGGAGAATTGCCTCCTTTTTAAAAATGGAAATAAATACGTGAAATTATACCAGTCATTCGAATTCTTAGTGAAGTATTGCACAGCTCTGGAATGTGGTGGGGTAAGGGTACCCTTTAAAGGGGTTATTGTTGACCTAAGAAGTCTGTGAGATGCATTCCTTTTTGATTTAGTTTGGTTCACATGTTTTTTATCAATAAATAGTATTCTATTTGATACATCACAGTTATCTACCTTCTTGTTGATGGACATTTGGGTTTGCTTTTAGTTGTTTGGTAATTGGCAATTTTTGTAGTCAAGGAGAGGAATGCATGCTTCAGCCAGGCTTGGTGTCACTAAAATCTTCTTGAATATTCTTTTGGCCTATTTTAATTTAGACTTAGGATATTCTAAAAGCTAGCACTATAACTAGATAACCCTCATTAGCTGGTTAAACTACACTAACACTTGAATTATTTCTGATTATCTTTTACCTGAGTGGCAATTTTTTTTCACTCTAAGAAAGATAATTAATTTGGATTATATAATTATGAATCTGAAGTTTGCTCTGAATTAGCACAGAGCTTACAAGGCCCTGGGTTCAATCCCAGCACTACCAAAAAAAAAATAATAATAATAAAGTTTATTTTAAAGTTTTCAGGGACAACTTTGTGGGAGAAGTTGTAAAGGAAGTTAGTCACAAAAAATAGTATAATATATATGGAATATGCAATGAATTTAAAGAACCAAGACTGTACGTGCATAAAAATCTATCATAATACCACCTACTAATAAGAATGGAACCATCAAACCTTGTTTCAGTTTCTTATTGTTATACTAGTTAAAGTGAGCATACAAGAATCCTAGTTTCTTTCCTACAAAGTAACAATTAGAGATTGCCATTGGGAAGGTCAAAGGTCTACTATAAATAGGACATAGAGTACAAAAGAAGTGGCTTACTTTTTAAAATATTGCTTATATTGTTTAATAAGGTTGTGTATTTGTTTTCAGGAATTCCTGCTTAGGCGTGTGTAGTATTATTGCTACTAGTGTTCCAGAGCCCTTGATACCTCAGTCCTAACAGAAGGATTTAGTGTTAGGTTGAAAAACTTCACCTTTTGGTAGCTATTTTATTTGAAGGGTTGTATTTAAAATACAGAGACCTTTTCAATTTGCAGGATCTAACATTCTGTTTTCCACTCTATTAAATGCTTTTCTTGGTTATGAGTAATTCTAAAAACCAGAGAGTAGTTCTTTTTTTCTTTTACACTTTTCTACATTCGTTTAGTTTGACATCATAGAATCAGTAGGCCAAAAAGTATACTTACAATGTGAAAACACTTTCACTGAAAAGTGCACTGATCCTAAGTATACAGCTCAGTGGATCACCAGTGACACACCCCTATGTCACCATTGCCCGGGCTATAAGCAGAAGGCTTGCAGTGCCATGCTCTTCTTCCCATCCTGTCGCCATTATGCTGGCCTCATATATCATAGGTTAGTTCTGTCTGGTTTTGAGTGTTATAGAATTGGGATGATACATTATCTGTTCCTTTTTTATTTGGCTTCTTTCACTGACTTTAGATTATGAGGTTCATTCCTGTTTTTATGTGTACTTTATTCATTTTTAATACTGTGTAGTATTTCATTTAATAGATCACAGTTTATTCATGCTCTTTTGAATTGGCATTTGATTGTTTCTAGGCTTTGCTTTTGAAAAGAGTTCTGCCTTGACTATTATCTATGTATCATTTATTGCATATATGTATTATTGGTGAATACCTACACAGTAATAAAATTATTGGACAAAATGCACGCTTAGGTTATTTTAACTAGTAGGTGACTTAGACATAGGTTCACTAGTTGCAGTCTTGGAGAGAGTGACTTTATGTTTGTGCTTTGAAATAATTTCAGATTTATAGAAAAGTTGCAAAAATAGAGGATTCCTTTTAATCCTTTATCTAGATTAATCCATTTTGATATTTTGCTGCATTTTTGTGTCATTCTCTTTGTCTAGGTACATATCTACTTCTGCATTATATGCACATACATATTGCTTCATTTTGAGCCATTTGTGAATAGGTTGCATGTATCATGTCTTTTACTCTTGATACTTGAGGATGGTGTATTTCCCAAAAACAAAGATATTCAAGAGCTTGGTTTGATCCAGTGTTTTTTGACTTGTGCATTTCACATTGCCACTTGTTTCAGAGTGAACATCATATATA